ATAGTTGCACGTAGCTCCACCACACTTCCCTATCCGGCGGTTCCCTCATGCTCTCTTACAGGTCTGCACATCCCCACGTTCTCCATGAACCTAGCTGGTGTCGGCTGTCTTCAGGAACTCGGCGCCACCACCACGTTCCCTGCACACGATCGATACGCGGTCTGTACTGAGGCCGCCACTGGTGCCCCCCTCACCACGTTCCCCGCTGACCTGGTGTCTGGCCTGCTCACTCTGGACACCGCGTCCCCCCCGGTGGCTGCGTCCCCCCAAGTGGCTGCGTCTACCCAAAACGTTGCGGCTTGCTCGTGTCGGTCGCTTACTCACCCGTCGCTTCTGTGGCAGCACTGCCTAGGTCACCCCGCACTCCCGAGTCTACGTCACATGTCCCAGCACGGTCTTGTCTTAGGTCTCCCTGCGTCGCTCCCTGCCCTCCCTCGCCCGCGCCTCCGTGCACGCCTTGCATCAAGGGCCGGTTGCGCCGCGCTCCTCACTCCTCCTCGTTTTCCCCCACACCTGCACCTGCACTTGGACGTCTCGAGCCCAACCCTGATCATTGGGCCGCGTCGCGTGCACTACTTTCTGGTGCTCGTAGACGACTACTCGCGCTACACCACGATATTTCCCCTGGAGCGGAAGGCCGACGTGCCTGACGTTCCCATCCCGTGGCTTGTAGCTGCTCGAATACACCGTGCCCAGCCAGTGCTTCGTCTCCACTCTGACCATGGTGGTGAGTTCGCTTTCAGTCGGCTTGGCCAAGAGTGTCGTGTGGAGGGCATCACCTAGTCGTACACCCTGCGGGACTCCCCAGAGCAAAATGGGGTTGCTGAGCGATGCATTGGTTTGGTCATAGAGGTGGCTCGTACCTCAATGATTCATGCCTGTGCACCCCATTTTCTGTGGCCGTTCGCAGTTCGCTACGCAGCTTACCAGCTTAACCTGTGGCCCCGCTCTTCACGCCCGCAAGTTTCATCGACCCTTCTCTGGACCGGTTCCCATGGTGACGCGTCTGCGTTTCACGTCTGGGGCTGCCTAGCTCACGTTCGTGCCTCTGGCGCGGACAAGCTCACCACCCACACCAACCCTTGTGTCTTTCTTGGTTTCCCTCTATACGATCCTGAGTGGCACTTCTACCACCCGCCGTCTCACCGTTTCTTTCACTCTCGTGCAGTCACCTTTGACGAGTTTGTCCTTACACCCGCTTCCCCCACCGAGGTCTCCCGGTAACTCCGCCCTTGTTTCTTATCCCCACTCCCCCGGTAGCTCCTGCTCCCCGTCCTGCCCCGTTTGGTGTGTCTCACGTCTTCCTTCGGTTGGCCCGGCGAAGGAGTCTCACACTCCGTGGGCCCTGAGGGTCAGGGTGAGCCACCTGTTTTTGCGGCACCTGCATCCTCCGTCCCGGTGCCTCCTGCGCCACTGCTGCAGCAGCAACAGCAGTCGCCGCCACAACAGCAGGGGTCTGTGGGCTATAGGGCTGTTGACGATGGGAGTGCTAACTCTGAGGGGGGTACTAGTTTTGGGGGTGCTTTTCTTGGGGGTGCTGGTCCTGGGGATGATGTCGGAGCGAGTCCTGGAGGTAGCCGTGGTGCGGCTGGAGGTCCTAGTGCGGGCGCGAAGCACCAGCAGCAGCAGCTGCTGCAGTCGCCACCAGTGTCCGCCCTTCGCCTCCTTGGTCTTCCCTCCCGACCAACCGCAGGAGCTTCCCCCAGCGCCGCCTCCTCCTGTCTACTGCCCTGTGTTCCCTCTCTTGGACTCGTCCCCGGCTTCTCCTCCTATGCCTGCTTCTTTGTCTCCTGACCTATGCACCCCTCTCAATGGTGGTCTCACCGTCCCAATCATGCTCGTCTCGTCTCTCCCACTCCGTTTTCACATGTCTCATGCTCCTCCCACTCCTGTTCTCCCATCGCCTCCTCAGTCGTCCCTCTCGGTCTCCTTGCCGCCTCTCTCTGACTTCCTCTATGCCGCTCGCCCTCTTGTTCCTTGTGTCCTAGCCTCTCTTTTTACCGACTCATCTGTTCCTGTCTCCCGTCTCTCGGCTTTTGTCGTTGTCATCACTAAATTTGCCTCTACCCGCCGCCTTGACTATGCCACTGCTCTGGCCTCCAACCTTGCCCGTCCTCCGTCCATTGGGGGTGCACGTGCCTTTGGCAGTGACGTCCTAGAGGACAGGCAAAACGAACTAGCTTTCCTTTCGGAGGCCGCTCCTCATCCTTTCTCCATGCTACTAGCCCCTAAGGGTGACCCAAACACTCTTGACATCCCGATCCCTCGCACCAACGCTGAGGCATTTTTGGGATCCTGGGCCTCACAGTGGATAGCTGCCATGGACGTAGAGATGGGATCTTGGAGATCCACCGTTATGTATGTCAACGCAGTTCCCCCACTTGGGACGAACGTAGTCGATGGCCGAAGGCTCTTCAAGGTGAAGCGCCCTCCTGGAGAGCCGCCGGTGTTCAAGATGCACTATGTTGCTAGAGGCTTCAGACAGCGCGAGGGGGTTGACTTCTTCAGACCTTTGCCCTGACCCCAGGGATGGCCATTCTTCGAGTGCTGCTTCTCGTAGTAGCAAAACGCGACTATGGCCTTTGCTCCCTTGATTTCTCCATAGCGTTCCTCTGGGGCAGTCTGCATGAGCAGATCTATCTGCACCGTCCGCCAGGCTTCTCTGGCTCTTTCCCTCCTGGGACCGAGTGGTTCCTCCGGCGCCCGATCTATGGTCTACGGCAGGCACCTCGTCAGTGGCACGACATGCTGCGTGCTACACTAGCAGACCTCCAGTTCTTTCCGTCCTCTGCTGACCTGCCTCTCTTCGTTCGCTCATGCCAGACTCTGTTCTACATCCTAGTCTACGTAGACGACCTGGTCTTCGCTACTGCAGACAGAGACGCAGTGGCCTTTGCAAAGGCCAAGTTGCTGAGGAGACACACCTGCATTGACCTAAGAGAGCTGCACCGCTACCTTGGCCTGCGGATCTCCAGAGACAGAGCAGCGGGCACCATCACTCTCACACAGTCACACTTGGTGCGCCATGTCCTTCAGAGGTCCAGCCTTCAATTTCCCTCCGCACTGCCCATACGCCTGCTCGTGGATCACAAGCTCTCGGCTCCACTTCCTGACGAGCCGGTCGAGCTTAGTGGTCAGTACGCAGAGCTTGTGGGCTACCTCATGTACCTAATGACTTGCAGTTGTCCAGATATCGCATACCCTCTTATTCTGCTCGCACGCTTTGTGGCCCCAGGCAGACATCGACCTCAGCACTAGTTGGCTGCCAAGAGGATGTTGCGATACCTAGCAATTATATCAGGCATGGGGCTAGTGCTGGGAGGATGCAGGCCAGTGGTTCTCACAGGGCACACAGACGCTTCTTGGGCGGACGACTCAGAGATGCCCAGGTCCTCTCAAGGCTACTGCTTTAGCCTTGGTGCAGGAGCGATCTCATGGAGGTCCACCCGCTCGTCGTCTAATGCACACTCCAGCTGTTCCTGCTCACTAACTTAGGTGAGCGGCCTAGCGCTGCCCTGGTCTTGTATGCTGACAACAAGGCCATGATCCTCCTGTGTCAGGAGCCTCGACTAGAGGGCAGAGCGAAGCACATCCAGCTACCGTACTTCCTCTTGCACGAGCTACAGCTGTGCCAATAGGCACGCGTAGTACTCTTAGCCTCCGGTGCCAACACAGCTGATATCTTTACTAATGTGCTTGCGCTTAAAGATCATTAGCAGCAATATGTACAGGCTGGTCTAGTTCCTGTAGCTCCTCACTTGCTAGGGCCTTGAGTTAGAAACTTGGCCATTAACCACTTAGTTAAAAGGGCTGAGTTTCTGACATGGTATTAGAGCGTTGGTGACTCGGGTTCAATTCCCAGTGCTAGCGCTGCAGAGGAGCTCGTGTGGTCCACCTATCCCAGCAAGGGGGGGTGTCGATTGACCCGCTGGGGTTACCCTTGAGAAGATCCTCGGGGAAGGGCCACAGGTGTAGAACCTGGGGGGCTATGGGCGCACTGACTTGCTATTTAACAAGCCCTTTTAACTCAGTGGTTAGTGGCCAGTGTCACAGGATCGAATGTGTCGAGGAAAGGTTGGACTATCGATCAGTACAAGGCGCTTTTATACTTCCAGAGTACATCAGGTAACCAGGTTTATCTTATCCCAAGGGAATAGACCCTTCTAGAAGATAGAATCACCCTGCGTATAGCCACGCGAGGCTATTGGCTTTAAGGGATTACGGCAAGATTACGCTAGATATAGCGCACCAGTACATCCCAAGCCTGGTCGGTGATATAATTATAATAGCACGATAAACCAAAGGATAATGGAAAATGGAAAAGAGGAAACCAAATGAGATGAAATAAAAATAGAAATGAAATAGGAAGGAAACAAGGAAAGGCCAAGTGGTGTAACGGGGTCGTACTCTCACACTTCCCCCCGTCAAAGCTGGGTGGTAGAAGTAACACCCTGCTTGACAAGGTAGTCATGCAGAGGACGACGGGCGTTACCTATGTCGAACTCAGGTACCCAGCTGTCCTCAGAAGGATCATAACCCTTCCAACAGATGAGAAACTCCACGGTGCTATTCCGACGACGACGGTGTGCAAGCACGGACTCGACCTCGTACTCGGGTTCATTCTGGACGAGGACGGGTGGCGGCGGCGGCGGTTGGCGTCCGAAGAAGATCGTGTTTGGATCCCGATAGGGCTTCAGAAGTTGGACATGGAAGGCGTTGTGAATCTTCCAGGTAGCTGGCAGGCGTAAGCGGAAGGTAACAGGAGTGACCTGTGCTTCAACGAGAAAAGGCCCGCAGAAGCGAGGTCGCAGTTTGGATGGGAGATGGCTGATGTCAAGATTGCGGGTGTCAAGGAGCACCTGGTCTCCCACGGAAATGGCGTGGTCGTTGCGATGGCGATCGGCCTAGCGCTTTTGTTGCTGCTGAATGTCGAGGAGGCGCTTGTGGGTCCGATCCCAAAGCTGATGCATGGTTGTGATGAAATCATGTGCAGGTTGGACTGTAGCGGATGTTGTCGGTTTCTGTGGTGTGAGTGGGTGGCGTCCGTAGCAGAGGAAGAACGGCGTCTGTCCAGTAGCGGCATGTGTAGCGTTGTTGTAAGCGAACTCGAGTACGGGCAGGTGCAAGTCCCATTTGGAGATCTCGTCCTTGCAGGCTGCTCGGAGGAGTTGCTCGACAATCTGGTTGAGGCGCTCGGTTTGTCCTTCAGTCTGCGGATGATAGGCGGATGACATGGTGAGTTTGGTCCCGAGCAGAGACATGAGTTCCTTCCAGAACTTGCTGGTGAACTTGGGGTCTCGGTCAGAGATAAGTGTGGTTGGGATGCCATGCTGTGAGATGATGTATCGAACAAATAGTTGTGCTGTCTCCTCGGTGCATGCTGTCGTGTGTGTCGGGATGAAGTGTCCCATTTTGGAGAACTTGTCGATGACGACAAGGATTGCGTCATGACCGCTGGTGGTAGGTGGTAACCCGGTGATGAAGTCCAGGCTAAGCACTTGCCATGGCTGTTCTGGGACAGGAAGAGGCTGTAGCAGTCCCGCTTTCTTTTGTTTGCTGCTCTTCATCCTCTGACATGTATCACATGAGGTGACAAATTTCTGAACATCCTCTGCCAAGTGGGGCCAGTAGTAGTGTTTTGCAATACCGGTCAGCGTCTTGTTGCTACCGAAGTGTCCGGCGTAGAGGACGTTGTGGTATTCTTCGAGTAGTAACTGGCGCAAAGGAGGGTAATTGGGTACCCAGATTTTTGTTGATCCTTTCCGATACGCGATGTCACTGTCCCACTGTAGCTGATGTCGCTTTTCTGCCAAGGGAATTTCGGGGTCGATGGCGTACCCGTGTGAAGAGTCCCTTGAGGAGTGGATTCATCTCTTCGATCTGAATTGCGGCAACGTGTGCAGGTCGGCTGAGGCCATCTGCTTTGTTTTTGTGGCCGGGCTTGTACACGATGTCGTAGTGGAAGTCGATCCACCGGACCTACCGCCTGGAAAGGTTGGGTTGTGTCTTCAAATATTTCAGGCTGCAGTGGTCGGTGTAGACGGTTGTTCTTCGTCCTTCGAGATAACATCTCCACGCTTTGAAGGCGATGACGATGGCAAGGGCCACTTTGTCGTGTATCGGGTAGTTTAGTTCTGCCCCGTGTAGTTTCTTGCTGAGGTAGGCGATTGGTTGCAATCCATTTCCTTGGTCTTGCATCAAGACTGCTCCCACTGCCTGGTCACTGGCGTCAGCTTCGATGACGTAGTCGCGTTCGGGATCTGGCAAGATGAGTACTGGTGCGGACGTAAGTGCTTGCTTCAGCTGCTCCACGGCTTCTTGGTGCTTCGGCTCCCATTTATAGGGCGTGTTCCTTTTCAGCAAATTCGTAAGTGGTGCTGCGAGTTTCGCATACTGTGGCACGAACCTGTTGTAGTAATTAGCGAAGCCTAGGAACTGCTGCAACTCCTTCACGTTCTCGGGTGTCTTCCACGTACGTACGGCTTTGATTTTCTTTGGGTCGACGTGAACTCCTTGAGCGCTCACCATGTGTCCTAGGAACTGGACCTTCTCAAGGGCGAATTCGCTCTTGGACAGTTTGACGTAGAATCGTTCTCGTCGAAGAATTTTGGAGACGCGTCGCAGGTGTACGATGTGCTGCTTCATGTCGCGCGAGTAGATGAGGATGTCGTCCAAGTACACCACGACGCACTCGTCCAAAAGTGGTCGTAGAATGTGGTTCATTTCGGCTTGGAATGTTGCCGGTGTGTTGGTGAGTCCAAATGGCATTACCAAATAATCGTACGATCCATACTGAGTTCGGAAAGCAGTTTTGTGGATAGAGTTGTCCGCCATCCGTATCTGCCAGTATCCGGACCGCAGATCCAATTTGGAGAATACCGTAGCTCCCCGAAGCTGGTCAAGCAGGTCATCGATTCATGGTATCGGATATTTATTCTTGATGGTTTGCTTGTTAAGAGCTCGGTAGTCGATGCACATGCGCAGGCTTCCGTCCTATTTTGGTGTGAAGAGCACTGGGGCACCGTATGGCGAAGTAGATGGTCGGATGAGTCCTTTTGGCTAGGAGATACTCGATCTGCTTTTTCATGTCAGTTAGCTCCGTAGGGCTGAGCCGATATGGTGCTCGGAAGGTCGGCTTCGAACCCGGTTCCTCCACGATCTCCTGTTGATGTGTGCGGTATGGCGGTAGCTCGTTCGGAAGATCGTCAGGGAGAATGTCTTGAAACTCCGTCAACAATTCCTTGATTTTTCCTGGAGGTTCCGAGGTTTTTTCCCTGTCGATTTCCACCTCTGTTGCTATCGCCAGGAACCCGGTGTCGGTTTGCTTCACGTCCTTCTCGAAGCGTTCGAGTGTCTCCACTGGAATATCTCCTGTATCGTCCTAGTTGGGTAGCTGAACTCTCCGTCCATTGTTGTCTTGCGGTGCGATTCACCCAGTTGATCTCGGGGTTGAATCTTTTTAGGAAGTCTCGCCCAAAGATCCAGTCAAGCCCTTTGAAGTTGGTGATGGGGAGTGAAGGTTTCCAGCTCAGTGGTCCAATTTGTAGGTGTAGCACTGCTTCGCCGTGTACTCATAACTTGCTGCCGTCCACCATCGTTGCAGAGAATCCTTAAGGCTTGTACTCTTCCCCAAGTCGGTCGATTACTGCCTTGTCGCAGACGGTGTGTGATGCTCCGCTGTCCACGAGTGCTTGGAGGCGTCGTCCTTTGAAGATGACCTCGAGCACGAGGGGCAGGCGTTGCTCGGAGTACCCAAAGATAGTTTCATTGATTGGGTCATAGGTTTCATCCCAATATTCCATACACACCTTTTCGTTGCTATCTACTCCTGGGCTGGCAGCTGGCCGAGGCTGCTTGGAGAACGGCTCTTCTTCAGGGCCTGGAGTTTCTTTGACGACTGTGCGCGTCGTTGATGCCGAAGTTGTTGAACTGGATGCATCCGGCGGAGGAGTTCGGGGTTTCTGCAGCTTCTTGTAGACCCCCAGCTTCCTCTTGAGCTGCTTCAGCTCCACCGACGTCTTCCCTGGGGAACGGGTAGTCGTTGTGGGCTGTTGTCGAGAGAGGACGTTGACTCTGTGGAAAGGTCGGCTTCTTTCCACACTCCTTAATTTTTTCCCCAAGTTGTCCGGTACCGGTATAATCTCCACAGCTGTCTGCTTCTTTTGGAGTCCTTCCCGAATTTTCTCCAAGGCTCTAGCCCCTAGAGAATCATAAGTTTTCATTAAAGCATGTTTATAGGATAGCTTTTTATCGAATCCTTATAATTTCATGGGTCTTCAAGGAGTTTCCCTGTCTCGGTTGAGTCTTTTTTCGCGGAGTCGTATTTTTTCTCGGCGATTTTCCCTGGCGAAAACTGGTCGTGGGGTGGAGATTTTCCCCCATCATTTCCTCCTTCTCGCGTCGAATCAGCTTCGTCGAAGTTGATTTTTCCGGAATCCCGCGGCCGCTTCCGGAACTTTTTATTTTCGCCAGCTAGATCCGCAATCACTGGCGACTCCCGTTTTTTTGTCTTTTGATTGGCCGAAGGATTTCCGCCACTGTTGCGTGCCCGATACTCTGCGCGTGCGGCTTTCATTTTGTTGCAGTCAAAGATTCGATGACCCGGCACCCCACAAAAATCACAAATGTAGTTGGTGTTTTTCGGACGTGGCCGCCCCTCGAATCTGTCGACTTCCATCGGGTCGGCGAACGTGGGGTGAGCCGAGCAGTCGCCCTGACGCGTACTGCCGACGTGCATCCGTTGTGTCCCGGCATTGACCATGTCGAAGCGCTCCGCTGCCGAAACGATGTCACTGTAGCTCGCGTAGTTTGACGCTGCCACTTGTCGTTTGACTTCGGTCTTCAGCCCGGCGAGGTATGACTGTACTCTTTCCCCTTCGGTCAGGTCGGGAATTCGGTTATAAAATTCCTCCATCTGCTGCGTGTACTGCGCTACACTCCCGAACTGTCAGTTTCGATGAATTTTTTCCCGAGCAAGAAAACCTGAATTTATCGGCTCGAATCGTTTCAGCAGGTCGGTGCGGAACTACTGCCACGTGGCTTCACCGTGGATGAAGGTGCTGTTGCCGCCAATCCACTCGAGTGCCGGCCCTCGCATCAGCGTCGCCGCGAGTCGTACACGTTGACCGTCCCATACTGGCGAGCTCTATCCGACGGCTGCGAAGTAGATCTCCATCCCGGCGATCCATCTTCGGGCGTCGGAGTTTCGATCGCTCGGATCGAACGGATCAGGTGGGCGCGGTTTCGGAGCCTCGAGAAACTGCTGCGACTGCTGCGTCGTCGCCTTTGTCAAGTCGTGCTGCGCTCCGGCGAGTCGAGTTACTCGCTCGAACTCGTTTCGCCACACTTAGCGATCCGCTCGCCTCTCCTCCTGAAGGTCTGCGATGCGTGCGAAGAGCTGTTGGGTAACCTTGGCGTTGTCGAAGGTTGCCATCCTGTTCAAAACACGCGGGGGAGGTGATTCAAAAAAACGCGGAGCGGGTGCTTACCAGAATCGGCGTCGAAGTGGTCGCCCGCGGCGGTTTTTCGAGGCAGGTTTTCCCGCTGCTGCTGCTTTGTTGAGCGCGGCCGAGTGAGAAACGCTCTGATTACCAAGTGTTACAAGATCGAATGTATTGAGGAAAGATTGTACTATCGATCAGTACAAGGCGCTTTTATACTTCCAGAGTACATCAGGTAACCAGGTTTATCTTATCCCAAGGGAATAGACCCTTCTAGAAGATAGAATCACCCTGCGTTTAGCCACACGAGGCTATTGGCTTTAAGGGATTACGGCAAGATTACGCTAGATATAGCGCACCAGTACATCCCAAGCCTAGTCGGTGATATAATTATAATAGCAGGATAAACCAAAGGTTAATGGAAATTGGAGAAGAGGAAACCAAATGAGATGAGATAAAAATAGAAATGAAATAGGAAGGAAATAAGGAAAGGCCAAGTGGTGTAACAGGGTCGTACTCTCACAGCGAGGGCCTCAGATTGGTTTAAGGAGGCTGAGGGTCGCCCATGTGAGAACCCTGTTTTTCAGGGTCGGGTTTTGCGCGTGGCATACACTTTCAAGCCAAAAACTAAATGAGCCTGACTTATCAAGCCTACATTTTTGTAGTGTCTAATTCTTGTTTCGGATCGGAATTCACTACGTACAATGTACCTACGTGATTTTGGCGAAGGAATCTGAGCAAATTCGTACGGTCCTCGCGTCAGACTAACATTGTGTCAAACTTCAGTTTCCCCGAACCTCCGCTCCGACTTTCAATCCTCGTGTCAGATATGGGCGCACGTGCTCAGCATCGCGAAAGTCGCCAGCGATGCAGTTAGCAAATGACGTTTCACCCAAACCAGCACCTCATAATTTGCCGAGATGCAGGCACAGGTGTCACCTCGTAATTTGCTCGAAATGTTTGTTTGTGGAGTCGCAGGGATGGTGAACTTTCACCGTGTGTTTCCAGTTTAGCGAAATTCACGCTGCAGTTTGCCACTTTCTGCGGGTTGGTTTGTGCTTTTGGCTAATGCCCAAACACGCTCCTCACACGTGCTCCAGCTCATGTCAAACTACCTATGTTATTTTGGTCAAGGACGTGTCACCCCCCTCACATGTGCTCCAGCTCGCCTCAGACTATATTTGCGTGGTTGTGGTCAAGGACCAGTCACGCCCCTCACACTTGCTCCAGCTCGCCCTGGCAGGAAGGATTCTGTTCCAGGGCGGATTTCGACTAAGGCTGATTCGTCAGACTCGCTTAAACAAGAACGTACTATTTTTCAGGGCTTAAGAAATGGGAATACATAAATTTCAGGTTTGACGAAAATCAAAACCTGAAAAATCAGGGTATGCCCTAAAAAACATCCTGATATACAGGCTTTCATGCCTTTTTGGCGTGACTTCTGAGGGTCTGTTAGTGGCTGAGTTTCGCACACCTTGATTGTGTACTACTCCTTTTATATACTCTCCTGACTGGCCTTGTGGCTTCTGTTCCTGTGGCCGGACTAGTACCGTAATTGTTGAAAAGGCTAGGATAGGATAGGTAGAGAAGCCATAGAAATGGCGTGAGGTTTTAGGCTAGGAAAGAATTGACGAGAGAGAAGAGAGGTTGGACTAGAAGAGAGAGGGATACAAGAAAGGGGGTTGTACCCGCTTTAGTAGGATCCAGTAACACCTACCAAGCCCACAATTGTATATATATATAATATATAATTTAACACACCTCCTAGGCTTGGTAGCCGAAAGCACACCATACGCACAGCACACTAAGCCACACACCCCCTAAGCCTAGCACCCCCATACTCAGCAGCAGCGACGGCTACTCCAGCATGGTCAACCCCTTGGCGTGTGAGGCGGCGACATCAACAGCGACGGCAGCGGCTGCAACGGCGGCGACGGCGGCAGCATCGACAGCGGCGGCGGGGGTGGCGTGCGGCAACGTGGCAAGCGGCACCAGCTGCGGCAGCGGCGGCTTTGACGTCAGCTGCGACGGGGGCGGAGCTCGCAGCACTCGGCGGCGTGGCCGGGCTCCGCGACGGTGGGACAGCCGGCGAGAGTCAGCCGTCGGCTGCGGTAAGGAAGAGGGAACGCAGGGGAAGGGGGCGGGGCCTCAGCAGCGGATCCCGGGAGCGTGCCGCCCCATGTGGCGCACTGGCTGCATGCGGGCGTGCTGGCCAGCGCTAAGACCAGGCGCTGGCCGCTGCCGTCCGTGCCGTCCGCGCGCTGGCGCGTAGTCGCCGCGACGGCAGCACGACGGCGCCGTCACGGCAGCACGACATGGCCGTGGCGGCGGCACGGAAAGGATAGGAGGGAGGAGCGGACTTTGCGGAAGCGTGATGAGCAGGCCCGAGCAGATGGACCTGCTCTGAAACCATGTTGAAAAGGCTAGGATAGGATAGGTAGAGAAGCCAAAGAAATGGCATGAGGCTTTAGGCTAGGAGACAATTGACGAGAGAGAAGAGAGGTTGGACTAGAAGAGAGAGGGATACAAGAAGGGGGGTTGTACCCTCCATAGTAGGATCTAGTAACACCTACCAAGCCTACAATTATATATAATATATATATATAATTGAGCAATAATCTCCCAGTTTGATCACCCTAGTTTTTTTGGAGAATTCACTGAAAATAGTTTGGGTGGACATATTAAAGGGAGGTTATTATTAAGACCCATAGACATTTATTTTCTACTTACGATATTGTTTTTGGTGTCTACACTTTAGTGATGACCTAGCAGGTTCTCGTCTCCAGCCTGTCGTAGTCTCGCGAGTCAAATTCCTGCTGTGGTCAATTTTCTGCAGGCCGACTGCAGGAACCCCTTATGCTGACGTGGCGTGAAGGCATTTCGGACTGCTAGGTGCACGGGCAAACGGGGGTGCTTCGAAAGCGTGACCAAAATCCGAAACTAAAAATGAGTACAAATACACTCGAGGGAAATTGGGGGTCCTCAAATGATTTACCCCAAACAGCGGGTCCTCACAATCCCTTTACGATATTAAGACCCATGGTCCGTCCGGAAAAAATACTCACGGTCCCTTTTCGGAGGGGTAATAATGCTGGAAGAGTACGGTAGTGCCGCCGTGGTTTGCTCTTGTCTAGTTTGTACTTTTCTGATTGGTTTTCGGACCCTTGCCTTAGAGGTTGGACTAGTAGTGCCACCCTGGGCTGCGTGTTGCACGCTAGGCGTTTCCCCTTATCTAGCCTAGGGGGTGTGTCAACTTATACATATGCTTTGCATGTATAGTTATACGCTATATGGGTTCATGCTCTTAGAGAGTACAACACCCAACTATATTTCTCCCTGTATGCCTTCCTATGATTCACTTTGTTACTCTAACACGCAGTTGAGTGTACATGCAATTTTGTGCGACAACCTCGCTATGGCGTTTGTATACTTTAGTAGCTAAAATATAGGCTAAGGAAATGCTATTTCCCTACATGTACAATGTTTCAAGGAATTCGCTCACATGCACCAATGACTATGGAATTAGCAGTACTATTTCTACTCTCACCAGGGCATAGAACGTTCACTATATGGATTTTGTTGATTATCTCATTTTGTAGTTCGACTTCATTTTGTAGCCTATAAATCGGATAGTACATTACCCGTTACATAACGAGAAAGACGTTAGCGAGTATAGCAAGTGATGGTGTTGGCCCAAATGAAAATTGTTGGGTTTTTAGTTGTTAAGTTACTGTTACTTGCGATCCGCGCACAATATTCACGTTTAGCTTACAGATAGGAGGGTTTTGTCGCTTTTTGAGCAGCGAGGGGAGGTTTAGCGTTCATTTAGGTTATGTTTTCTCCGATTAGTTCGCGTTTCACAATTTCATTGGTTGCACACTGTACCTCAGCATTTCGCTGTTCTCAGCAACTGTTCCCTAAAAATCTCCGTCAACTACAGTACACGTCACTGAACGAACCTGGAAACAAAGTGAGCCTCGGGGACCGTCAATTTCTGACGGCAAAATTAACAGCGGACCTATTTTTCAGACAGATAAAACATGACGACAATACTCAATATGGGATTGTGGATTAGTGCGACGGGATTGTTCACTTACATTTCATTGCGGCATTATGAAATAATATCTTTTGTACAATTATATTTTGAGCTCAGGGTGGCGAGAATGGCGGGATGATTTTTTTTTACCATGGAATTCCATGATATTCATCAATGATATAGATCCTTCAACAATTTTGCCAATGCTTGGCTGAATATTTTCAAGAGGAGTTCGCATATTAATGTTGGCTGGGACGTATAGTATGGTCATTTTTGTAAAGAATGTTGTAATGCAAAGTCTTTTCGAAAATATTCAGCCACGTGTTAAAAACTTTATTGAAAAATCTACATTTTTTATGAAGATCATGGAATTCCATGGCAAAAAGTTCATGAGTTGAAATAGTACAAAAATGTTTATTACATAATATCGAAATGAAATGTAAGTGAACAATCCCGTCGCACTAATCCACAATCCCATATTGAGTATTGTCGTCATGTTTTATCCGTCTAAAAATTAAGTTCGCTGTTAATTTCGCCGTCAGAAATTGACGGTACCCGAGGCTCATTCTGTTTCCAGGTTCGTTCAGCAACGTGCACTGTAGTTGATGGAGATTTTCGGGAACAGTTGCTTAGAACAGCGAAATGCTGAGGTCCAGTGTACAACCAATGAAATTGTGAAACGCGAACCAATGAGAGAAAACATAACCTAAATGAACGCTAAACCTCCCCTCGCTGCTCAGAAAGCGACAAAACCTTCCTCTCTCCGCGCTAAATGTGACTACTGTGCGCGGATCGCAAGTAACAGTAACCGAACAACTAAAAACCCAAAATTGTTGGTTGGAATACCTGTTCCACTTTCATCCGTCCTGCCTCCATGATTGTGCAGCATTGGTAGTTGCGTCACCATGTCGCATTGCATGTCGCCCGCGCTTCCTCGCGCCCAAATGCTCCCGGCACTGCGACGCGCCTTCTCTCCCCCTGCCCTCGCACCTCCCCCTGCCCCCGCGCCTCCGTATCTTTCCCGCCCACCTGCCGCATCCGCTCGTCCCTCGCCATCTCGCTGCCACGCGCCACTAACCACTGCGCGCCGCTGCAGTTACCCCGTCAGTCAACGCGAGTCAACGCGTCGGCGGGTGGCGGCCAGCGTCACTCCCAGTCAACCGCCGCCGGAGGCTGCATCGCCTCGGATCCGCCCGTCGGCGCCAGAGCCGGCCATCGAGGCACGTCAGGCGTCGGACGCGGCGTTGGATGCGGCAGCGCCATCCCGCGGGGCAGCAGCGTCGTGGGCGGCGCCGCTAGCGGGCGTGGAGGTGGTGGGGGCGGATGGCGCGCGAGTGGCGCTGACGGGGCTGTGGGCGACGCGGCGAGTGGTGGTGGCGTGGACCCGCCACTTCGGGTGAGCGGGACAGGTCAGGAGTGTGAGTGAGAGGCAGGCAGGGATGACGGGTGCTTCTTAGAAGGAGACAAGGGGGTGGGATCGGGGGGGGGAAGGGGGAGAGGGGGGGAGGGTGGAGCGTGCCTTAAATAGGCGCATGCCGGGTGGCATGAGAGCAGACGTTAATGACAGGTGAAGAATAGCAGATTTTTCACCGTAGCATGCCCTTCATGCCATCTCGTCTCATCCCATCCCATCCCATTCCTCCCCCTCCCCATCCCCATCCCCACCCATGACCATCCCATTCCACTCCATTCTGATCCCATTCGCATCCCATTCGCATCCCATCGCATCCCATCGCATCCCATCGCATCCCATCGCATCCCATCGCATCCCATCGCATCCCATCGCATCCCATTCGCATCCTCTCCCCTCCCCTCCCCTCCCCTCCCCTCCCCTCCCTGCCCTGCCCTTCCCTCCCCTCCTCTCCCTTCCCCTCCCCCCCCCTCCCCTCCCTGCCCTGCCCTTCCCTGGCCTTCCCTCCCCTCCCCTCCCCTGCCCTTCCCTCCCTTCGCCCTGTATCTCCAATGCTATCCCATGTGATCGCACCTCATCTGCCTGTGTGCCATGTGATCGCACCTCATCAGCCTGTGTGCCATGTGATCGCACCTCATCAGCCTGTGTGCCATGTGATCGCACCTCATCTGCCTGTGTGCCATGTGATCGCACCTCATCTGCCTGTGTGCCATGTGATCGCACCTCATCAGTCTGTGTGCCATGTATCATGTGCCATGAGCCATGTGCCATGTGTCATGTGCCATGTGTCATGTGCCATGTGCCATGTGTCATGTGTGTGCCATGTGTCATGTGCCATGTGCCATGTGTCATGTGCCATGTGCCATGTGTCATGTGTCATGTGCCATGTGTCATGTGTCATGTGCCATGTGTCATGTGCCATGTGCCATGTGTCCTGTGTCATGTGTCCTGTGTCATGTGCCATGTGCCATGTGCTATGTGCCATGCGTCATGTGTCATGTGTCATGTGCCATGTGTCATGTGGCATGTGCTATGTGTCATGTGTCATGTGCCATGTGCCATGTGTCATGTGCCATGTGTCATATGCCATGTGTCATGTGTCATGTGTCATGTGTCATGTGCCATGTGCCATGTGCCATGTGTCATGTGCCATGTGTCATATGCCATGTGTCATGTGTCATGTGTCATGTGTCATGTGTCATGTGTCATGTGCCATGTGCCATGTGTCGTCACGTGTCATGTGCTGTGTGTCATGTGTCATGTCAAGGTGCAAAAAAACGGCGTTTTTTACCTTTTTTTACCGTTTAAAACGGGATCGTATAAAACGGTCGTATAATACGATTAAAACAGTCAAAGGTTGCATTTTGCGTTTGGTGCAAAAAAACAGCCGTTTTATGCGACCGTTTTTTTCGTACCACCGTATAATACGGTGTACATTGTTTTTGGCCGAGCTAATAACGCTTAAGGGGGGGAGGACAAGGGGGGGGAGGACTAGGTGGATGACGCTTAGGAGGAGGAGGATGGGGGGGATGGTGGAGTAGGAGCAGAATGAGACCTAGAAGGCGACGGACTAGGGGCATGGACATCACATACCTGTTTCAAAGCCGCTAATTACCCCGTAGAACGATGCAGGCCGCCTTAGCAACCAGGCCACTTGTTTAGGCGTGCTTTTCATACATGTAAAAAAAATCATGAAAAAAGGCCTAACAAAAAAACGTCGTTTTTTACCAAAACCCACCGTAAAAAACGGCCGTTTAAAACGGACCGTTTAATACGGATGCCGTTTTTTTGCACCTTGGTCATGTGCCATGTGTCATGTGTCATGTGCCATGTGTCATATGCCATGTGTCATGTGTCATGTGCCATGTGCCATGTTCCATGTTCCATGTGCCATGTGCCATGCCATGTGTCATGTGTCATGTGCCATGTGTCGTATGTCATGTGCCATGTGTCATGTGTCATGTGCCATGTGCCATGTGTCATGTGTCATGTGCCGTGTGCCATGTGCCATGTGTCATGTGTCATGTGCCATGTGCCCTGTGCCATGTGCCATGTGTCATGTGCCATGTATGTGCCATGTGTCATGTGTCATGTGCTATGTGTCATGTGCCATGCGCCATGTGCCACGTGTCATGTTCCGTGTGCCTTGTGTCATGTGTCATGTTCCATGTGCCATGTGCAATGTGCCATGTGCCATGTGCCATGTGTCATGTGTTTCATGCGCCCTCTCTCCCCCATGCCCTTCATGCGCCCTCTCTCCCCCATGCCCTTCATGGGCCCTCTCTTCCCCATGCCCTTCATGCGCCCTTTCCTCCCTCCCTGCCCCCGTGCTGCCCTGCCAGCTGTCTTCTCTGTCGCAAGCGCGCCACTATGCTGGCCAATGAGAAGGTGAGCGAGTCGCTGCCTTCACCACGCTCCACGCCTAAGTGGGCAAATTCGTTGGGGTCCCCCAGCGTTTTGGGTGAATTCGTAGGCGTAAATTCGCAAACTCGAATTTACCTGAAATTCGCGAAACGCTGGGGGAAAATTTTCGGGGCAGCCCGGACAACATTTTCCACTTGATTCGCGACGACTTGGCGATGCCATCCGTGGCCTCGCCAATTTGCGATTCTAACTTTTGAACCTTCTAACATGCTCCCATCCCAACCCCTCCCACGCTCCCAACCGCATCAAACCCCACCGCATCTAGATAACCCAACCCATCCACCACCCAACTTACGCAACCATATGACGCACGCATCTCACACGCTACTCTACCAGACGTAGAGTAGTAGATCTAGCTACTCACTCTCCTAGCTAGTAGATCTAGTTTACGCGCAGTTGTGAGCTTACCTCACAAGAATCCATGCAGCAATGTCGGACCTCCCAGATCAGGGCCCTCGTGGGGAAGCGACAGTCGATGCGTCAGGTGAGGCCTCTTCGTCCACCCCTTTCATTGGAGATGATAAGCACGTAGTCTTTCAGCATTTTAAGTTTTAGAGCAAGGAAATGGGTAGGGTGCAGCGCTACTGGCGGCTACATCGCCGGCTTCCTGCGGCCGATCGTGGAGAAGCTGGGCACCGCGAACGTCGTTGCCTTCTGCACGGACGGCGGCAGCAACTATTACAGCGCCTGCAAACTACTGATGGGGCAGTTCCCCAAGATCGAGCACGTGCCTTGCGCCACGCACGTGCTCGATCTGCTGATGGAGGACGTGGGGAAGCTCCCTTGGGCCGCTGGTGTGGTGAAGGAGGCGAGCGATATTATCACGTACATGCGCAGCCACCATTGGACCCGCCAGTACGTTGAAAATCCCCAAGGCGGAGCTCTTCACTAGGGTGCTGGAGCTCCCATTCAATGTCATGCGGGCGACTGATACAGAGAGGAAGGGGATGATGGGAAGCCTGTATGACAAGATGCTGCTGCTTACAGAGCAAATGGAGGCGTTGCTGAAGAAGGAGACCCACGAGGCGCTGACGGCGACAGCTAAGAGTGCTATTAATGAGATCGTGACAGCGCGTTGGGATGGGAGCCTGGCCTGCCCGCTGCACGTGGTTGGTCGGATTCTTAATCCGGTCAACCAGTCGGCGGACATATTCGGCCTCGACGTGGAGTGCACGAACGTGTTCAAGGATTTTGTGCAGTGCCACTACAAGGGGGTCATGGTCCCTCAAAAGAGGGGACCGCCCAAGCGTGCAACCCTTGTCATACAGGAGGGGCTGGCGGATTACTTGGAGTTGAGGGGGAGCTTTGGCAAGAAGGAGGCCATTAATGACCGGCAGTTGGTCAAGGAGGGCACGCACAGCATGAAGGCATGGTGGCGGTGGCACGGCACCGACCACCCCTTGCTCACGGCACCGACCACCCCTTGCTCACGGCACCGACCACCCCTTGCTCACGGCACCGACCACCCCTTGCTCACGGCACCGACCACCCCTTGCTCACGGCACCGACCACCCCTTGCTCACGGCACCGACCACCCCTTGCTCACGGCACCGACCACCCCTTGCTCACGGCACTTGCGCGCCGTGTGCTGACACAGCCTGTGTCGGCTGCCTCCTGCGAGCGCAACTGGGCGGTGTGGGATGCTATCCACACCGCCCGGCGCAACAGGTTGGGGTCTGAGAAGCTGTCGGATTTAGTGTATGTTGCGCACAACTGGAACGTTGTGCGCAACTGGAACGTTGTGCGCAACTGGAACGTTGTGCGCAACTGGAACGTTGCGCACAACTGGAACGTTGCGCGCAACTGGAACGTTGCGCGCAACTGGAACGTTGCGCGCAACTGGAACGTTGCGCGCAACTGGAACGTTGCGCGCAACTGGAACGTTGTGCGCAACTGGAACGTTGTGCGCAACTGGCATGCGGAAGAGGAGGGGATGGGGGTGATGGTTGGGAACATCCCTGACCCGCCTCTCCCCGCGAGGTACAAGGAGTTGGATGAGGAGGCATTGAGGGAGGAGGAGGAGGGGGATGACGTGGAGCTGCTGGATGAGTACATGTAGAGGGGAGCATGGTAGGGGGGGTTGGGTGGGGGATGTGTGAGTGAGTATGGTTTATGATGGTGCTGTTGTAGGTTGCTGCAGGGCTGTTGTTGAGAACGATAGGAATGCCATAAACTTTGAGGAGCAATATTTATTTTGTGCTAAAACTTTCTTGCTTGAAAAGAGTTGCCCTGAAACCCCCCACGCCCCCCCTACCTGGGAACTTTTTTTTGGGCCTGCCTGGGTTTTTTTTTCTGCCCGGGCGGAACGAATTTCCTAACGAATTCAAAACAGGGCCCTGGCGTTCGGGCGAATTTACGCCAGCGTAAATTCGTCAGCGAATTTACGCGAAACGCGAATTTTCCCACTTAGCTCCACGCCCGCGCTCCATGCTCGCACCCCCTATGCTCGCTCCCCCGATGCTCGCACCCCGTATGTCCGCAATCCCTCTGCCCTTAACCCCTCTGCTCGCACCCCCTCTGCTCGCACCCCCTCTGCTCGCACCCCCTCTGCTCGCATCCCCTATGCTCGCATCCCCTATGCTCGCATCCCCTATGCTCGCATCCCCTATGCTCGCACCCCCTCTGCTCGCATCCCCTATGCTCGCATCCCCTATGCTCGCATCCCCTATGCTCGCATCCCCCTCTGCTCGCACCCCCTCTGCTCGCATCCCCTATGCTCGCATCCCCTATGCTCGCATCCCCTATGCTCGCATCCCCTATGCTCGCATCCCCTATGCTCGCATCCCCTATGCTCGCATCCCCTATGCTTGCATCCCCTATGTTCGCATCCCCTATGCTTGCATCCCCTGTGCCGTGATCCCTGTTGCTTTACCGCGATCCCTTCCTCGCTGCTCTCTTCCCACTGACCCCTCCTTCTTTCGTCCACTCCAGGACGCATTTGAAGCAGCAGGCGTCACTCTCATCGTTATCGGCCCGGGCTCCGATCAACATGTATGTGCTCAGTGGCTCAGTGGCTGTTTTGGTTTGTTGGAGTAACAGTCTGACACCACGTGGTGTTGCTGCCACCATGGCACGTGGTGTTGCTGCCACCATGGCACGTGGTGTTGCTGCCACCATGGCACGTGGTGTTGCTGCCACCATGGCACGTGGCACATTGTAGTAAGCGAGTGCACTGTGATGTCAACTGATGCTGTGACGCTCTCAGTTCCCATGCCATTTAATGCCGCCATCTGTTCTGTCATCTGGGCCCTGCATGCAATTAATGCTGCCATCTGTTCTCTCATCTGCGCCCTGCATGCATCTCGCTGGCTGCAGGCAAAGCAGTTTTTGGAGCAAACCAACTTCCCAGGAGGTGATCAGCTGGCCCCCTCTTCTCGCCTTTGCTGCTCCGCCCCTTGCTCCTGCCGCTGCACCTTTCGCCCAATGCTCCCCCACTTTCTTGCGGCCATGTCCATTGTTCTGCCTCTGTGTCTTCACAGCTTACGTGAAGCAGTTCCTCGTCTTCCCTTGTTCCCTCGTCCAATCCCCGTCCCTTCCCCATCCCCTCCCCCCCCCTCCCCCCATCAGAGGTGTATGCGGACCGCCAGCGCGCGTCGTACGAGGCGCTGCAGTTCGTGGCGGGGCTCTCCACCGTCTTCACGCCCACCGTCAGCCCCCACTCACCCTCCATGGAGTCCTGCCCCCTCTCGCACTCAACACCCCCTTTGTCCTTCTTCAATTTGTCACCCTTTCCCTCGCTCCCTTCCCCTTGCTTCTCTCCCTGCCCGTCCATCCCTGCACTTGTGTTTCCTCTTTCTCTCCCTGCCCGTCCATCCCTGCCTCAACCTAGACATGGGCACAAGCCGAGCCACACCTGGCTCGGCTTGGCTCGGCTCGCCGTATAAACGAGCCGAGCCTCTTTTTTTTGTACCCGGCTCGGCTCGCGCACGCATAATCAGCGAGCCGGAGTCGAGCCGGCTCGAGCTGGCTCGTTTTCGAGCCAGCCGGCTCGCGGCTAGGGAAAAGGGGGTTTCGCGACTGTCAAATTTCAGATCGACAAACCCCCCTCGCGCCCATTTTGTCTGCCAACCCTAACCTCACCCTGTCGCCCTAGTCTATCGACCTCAGCCAGGCCTATTTAAACCTGCAGCTCCTCCTGATAGTTTTGTAAGACGTAGAACCAGACGATCAGCTAAACAATCTGGATTATCCCCTCTACTAGAGACCCCAAACCCCGTGGCTCCAATTGAGAGCCCACACAAGCCCCCCTGACGAGCCGAGCCGAGCCGGCTCGCTGGCGAGCCAGCCCTGGCTCGACCCCATTTCCACGAGCCGAGCCGGGGATCCTGAGGACCCGGCTCGAGGCGAGCCGAGCCGGCTCGTCCGGCGAGCCGGCTTGGCTCGACCCCAAACGAGCCGAGCCGAGCCAGGCTCGGCTCATGCCCATGTCTACCTCAACCTTTACCTGCAGCCCTCTTTCCATCGCCTGCAATGCAATCCTTCCCTCACGTCTCCCTGTTCTCTTGCCTGTCCGTCTTCCTCCTCCCAGTTCCCACTCATGCCTGTCACGGCCGCCCTTCCCCAGCCTAGGCCTACTTTGCACACTAGGCCCATGTGCGCCCCCTTACCCACCCATTCTCGCTGCAGGCGGCGCTTAGTGTGGCCAAGGCGCGGCTGGAGGGCTTCAAGCAGGACTGGGGGCAGTCCATGCAGCCCGACACCGTGCTCCGCAGCGCATGGTGAGGGGTCAGGGGCACGTGGTGAGGGGTCAGGGGCACGTGGTGAGGGGTCAGGGGCACGTGGTGAGGGGTCAGGGGCACGTGGTGAGGGGTCAGGGGCGCATGGCGAGGCGAGAGGGGCGCATGGTGAGGGGCGCATGGTGAGGGGTCAGGGGCGCATGGTGAGGCGAGAGGGGTGCATGGTGAGGGGCGTATGGTGAGGGGTTCATGGGAATGGCGAGCTGTGTTTGACATGTTGAGATCCATATGAATGGTCTGATTTCGTCTTCTGTTCCTACGTCTTGTTTGGCAATGCACTCCGTGCAGGCAGCAGGGCGGCATGATTGTGGCAGGGCCGGGCGTCGACAACCTGCTCTTCCTGCACAAGGTATGCTCTTCCTGCACAAGGTATGCTCCTCCTGCACAAGGTATGCTCTTCCTGCACAGGGTATGCTCTTCCTGCGCAAGGTATGCCCTTCCTGCACAAGGTATGCTCTTCCTGCACAAGGTATGCTCTTCTTGCACAAGGTATGCTCTTCCTGCACAAGGTATGCTCTTCCTGCACAAGGTATGCTCTTCCTGCACAAGGTATGCTCTTCCTGCACAAGGTATGCTCTTCCTGCACAAGGTGTGCTCTTCCTGCACTAGGTATGCTCTTCGTGCACAAGGTATGCTCTTCGTGCACAAGGTATGCTCTTCCTGCACGAGGTATGCTCTTCCTGCACAAGGTACCGTAATCACCCGGATAGACGCCCCTCCGTAGGATTAGTCCCATGGGCTCTAACTCGTGCATTGGGACTTATAGGCATTATTCGATTATAGGCCCCCCTTATTTTTTCAGAACATGTACCCTATAAGCCCCCTCTGAAATTCAGTTGAAACACTGTACAAATGGGCCGAACGGGTGCAGGTAATACCGAGGCTTCTCGCTTCGTGCTCGTCAGAAGCGGAACTCACGCCCTCTGACACCTCGCGCCAGCACGATTCGTATCAGAAAAGCAAGTTTCCAGCCTGGCACCTCGTTGACTGGACTTCCAGCGCCATAGACTTTGAATCCTCGCCAAAAAATACTCTCATTGCACACGACAAACCATCAGCTACGTGTCGATGTCAAACTTTTAATTTCCATATAATCCCTTTAAAACGCCCATTTTTCATTCAATTAAATGCCCCTCCACGTTTTCAAAGCAGTCTAGTAAACGCCCCTAGGGGCGTCTATCCGGGTGATTACGGTATGCTGGATTCTTGCTTGTGCGGCATGCTGTTCAGCCCATAGGTGCTTGCATCATGAGGCTCTGAGAGCAGGTTCATGTCACATATGGACATTTCTTACCACCCATGGCTAACGCACACGGTATCAAGTGTCATTCTACTGTATGCGTGTGATACCTCCGCCGCGGCCGACGTGCTTATCTCCTGGCGGGACTCTCGCTCCCATGGGTGCAGGACAAGGAGGCAGGCGATGAGCCGGACGTGCATGACATCATTGCTGCTGCGCGCCAACCCCTGCCGTGACTTTAGGTCATCCGCTCATCAATGTTATGCCAATCGTTTTCCGGCCCTCATATTGGGCATACCCACCTGCGCATCAAGGTCGATTGTTGCCAGCCCTTAGATTGCACGAGTGGCATTGCATTGCAGGGGACCGCATGTCAACATATATTTGTATATGTTATAGGCTAGATAGGTGCATGCTCTTAGAGGGTACAACACCAGGCCCCCAAATTGCAGACTTTTTACTCTGATTCAGACTTTTTTCAGAGTTTTTTTGGGGGTGTACTCTGATTCCAAAGACTTTTTTTTGTATGTTACTCTGATTTTTCAGAGAAGTTTTATGTACCTACTCTGATTTTTCAGACTTCTTTGACAAGTGTACTCTGATGCTTCATCCTTGTATGGGGGGGGGACTCTGATTCCTGTAATACCGTCATTTTAGGGGGGGTTGCGAGATTTGCGTTGGTACCTCTGTCGTCACCGTCAATCACACCAGAATTACATTTGCGCTGGCGCGGCCCCAGCCGTCGGGCGGGCAAATTTTGTGCGATGGCGCCAGCACAGAGATAGCCCGAGCAGCCGATTGGTCCTTGACCAAAACACGGTTGTTTTCGCCAATCGTGAGGCAATTTGCTGGGTGAGGCACAGCAGACGAGGCACCGCACCCATGCTGACGCTCTTTACTGACGGGGAAAACGACCCTGCTTCTCCCCCCTCCAGCAAAACTTCAGCCAAGCTTCGTGTAGCCCCTCGGTTTTCTTTTAGTGCGTCTGTTTTCCCACCGCGCCCCTGCAGGCCATGGAGCAGGTCGACCTCGATGAGGACGTAGACGAGGCAGATTATGACGAACAAGACGAAGAGTATTGGTGTGCCGAGAATTTCCGCGATGGTCCGGCCGCACTAAAGTTCCTGCGGCAGTCGGATGCTTCAGATCGTAGCCCTCAGAGGAAGCCTGGTGACGCTGCCCCTGCTGATGGCGATGCACCTGTTCCCGATGCAGCGGGCAAGAAGTCTGCGGATGCAAGCCCCCTGCCCACTGCTTCAGCTCCTGTCGCCGGCACCACGCCGTCGGTGACGGCGGCGAAGAGGTTCCGGTACAGGCAGGTGATTCTGCCGTACGCCTCAACGTCGACATGCCAGGATCCGCCTGAGCCTGTGCCGAGCCCCTTTGTACATGCGGACTTGCCAGAATCGTCTGGCGGTAGGTCCACTGCTAGAACGAACGAGGACATCTATGCTGAGGCACAAGAGCGTTTCAAATCTCGCTGGTCTGACAGATTCCCTTGGCTCATGCTTTTGAAAACTGATGATGGTCTCCCGGCCTTCAAGTGTAGTGTATGCGCAGTGCATGCAGGACCTGCAGGGCGTACCGGCAAATCGGGCAAGGGAGCAAAGGACGTGCAGACACAGTCGTTCAAGAAGCACGCCGGAACGCAGAAGCATCGCCTCGCCATGTCCAAGCAGGACGATCTCCTGCAACAGGTGTCTAACCAGCAGCGGATCGACCTGCATCCCCGCGCGGCCGACAAAGACAAGGAGCGAGTCATCGCGCTGCTCGAATCCCTCTACTTCTGCGCCAAGTGTATCAAACCCATGGAAACTTGGATTCGTTTGGTGCGATACCTCTCATCGCGCAGTTTCAAGGGCTTCCCGAAGTCTGCCTACGGCACGTACTATAACTGGTGAGAACTCCAGTGACTATGAACTTCGCTATGTTTCGTCTTTAGATCTGAAACTTACAACAACTTGCACTGTGCGTGTGATGTAACAGGTACGGCTTCGGCGAACTGACACAAGCGACGGCCACGTGGCTGCAGACGACTCAACTCCAACACCTGCTGGCGAGTCCCTACATTGGCCTGAGCCTCGACGAAAGCACCGATCGCTGCCGTGGCAAGCACATGATCGTGTTTGCCACGTTCATCCGGGAAGGGCGGCTTGTAACCGAGTACCTGGCTCTGTTGACGGTGGAGAAGGCGGATGCGGCATCGCTACTCGCCCTCTTGTTGTCCCATCTGCAGGCGACTGGCGTCGACCTCGGCCGCATCTCTGGCATTAGCACTGACGGCGCTGCCGTCATGATGGGAGCGCGCTCTGGACTTGTGGCCCGCCTTCGTCTTCTCGTTCCGCACCTTGTCTCTTGCCATTGCATTGCCCATCGGTTCGTCAACCGTTTGCTGTGTGCATGTCGTGTTTATTTGCTTGTTTTGTTCATAATTCCCATCGCTAATTTGCTTCCTACTTTGCATCTCATCCCCTTATCCCACGCAGAGAGGCGCTGGCGGCAAAGGCTGCTGCTGAGGAGATCCCTGTCTTTAGCATGGTAGACAACATCATTCGCGAGATCGCTGAGCTGCTCGGTCGCTCCAACCCTTGGCATCAACGGTTCTTGGAGCTCCAGGAGGTGTTCATGTCGACAAACCTCGAGCTCCAGGGCATCCACAACATCCGCTGGCTGTCGCGCGGAGATGCTGTCATCCGCCTGGTCGAGGTCCTACCAGCCATCGTGGTCATGCTGCAGGAGTACGACGCTAAGCTGTACGCGCTCGTCACCAGTTACCGCTTTTGGCTCCTCCTGATGTTCCTCGCCGACGTGCTCGAGCTGCTGAACGTGCTCAACAAGGTCTTTCAGCAGTGGGAGGTAAATATGTTTAATGCTTGTGTTTGCATGCATGTCGATATTACTCGTCTCTGCCGCTCGTCCCTTAACCACACATCCCTCTGTGATGCCCTAGCTTTCCTCGCCCCCCTACCCACCAGCTGGACTACACAACGGTGCACGCGCAGATCATCCGCACGACCTCGCTGCTAGAGAGCCGCTACGTGGACTGCGGAGATGACTTCACCGGCGGGCCCAACGATCGATTGACGCGGTTCCTCGCCAAGCACGGGCCCGGCAAGTCCAAGCTAGTGACAGTGGAGGGGATTGACTCCGATGGCCGACCTTCACGGTTCACCTTCGAGCTGCACGAAGAGCCCCAAGAGGACTACCCAGGGCCCAGCGACCACGATGGGAGTGTCGTGGCGTGCATGGCTCTAGCGGAGGGCCTGGTCCGCAACCTCGACGAGCGCCTAGGCGATCTGCGGCAGCTGTCGGGAGCGCGCCTGTTCAGCGTCGACGCATGGCCGCCCAACTGGGACCGACACGCACGGAGGACGCAGTGCCTCGAGTGGTTCAATTCGCTCGTGGTCATCTACCGCGCTGAAGACAGGGACGAAATTCTGCCAGGTAAATTTGTTTACTCCTTTCAGTATCCCTCTTGCAATGTATATGAAACAAGACACATGTCTTTTCGTAAACCCTGTGTAGTGATTCAGATAACCCAACCCTTTTCCGTTTCCTTGTGTTGTGTGCCCTTGTCTGATCAGGTATAGACAAGCGCAAAGCCCAGAGCGAGCTCCGCAACTTCGTTCCCATCCTTGCTGCGCTTCCCAAGGCGGACAGGTCATTCCACGCGGGGCTGAGCGCCATGCTAAAGACGCAGGACTGGAGGGACAGCTACTCCAACCTGGTCAACTTGTGGGTGGCGGTGGCTGTCCTTCCGTTGAGCACTGTCGAGTGCGAGCGCGGGTTCTCCCGCCAGAACGTCATCAAGAGTTGGCTGCGGGGGGCTCTCAAGGATACTAGGCTAGGAGATCTGATGTGCATGTCGCAGCTAGAGTATGACCGCGACTGGCAAGAGGTGGTCACCATCTGGCGGGCTTATAAGAAGAGGAAGCCCCTTAGCAACGCCCTCCCCGAGGCTTGTAGCAGCAGGAAGGGAAAGGAGAAAGAAGATTATGATAATGATATGCCGATAGCACCGCAGCAAGATATGCAGGATATTGACTGATTTTGTGCATGTAGTGAATTGTAGTGCATTCTCTAATAAAGAACCATAAAAAAGGCTCATACAAAAGTTTGGCTATGACTCTGATTGGTCAGACAAAAAATTGAAAGCTACTATGATTTTTCAGACTTTTTCAAGGAGGCAACTCTGACACCCATACCAAGGGAAGGCAGTGGACTCTGACGAATCAGACAGACCCAAAACCAATTTGGGGGCCTGTACAACACCATAGCCCAAAATCTCACTCTATGGCACAATCTAGTTCATTGTATTACTGTAACATGGTACCGTAATCCCCCGTATGTAACACCCGCCGAAATAGTCAGCCCATGGGTGGCATATGCGGGGGATAGCTTGTGATATGGCGCATTTTTTAGAGTACCCACTTTTCTGGGTTTGCATTTTACATAACACCCTGCTCGTTTTTCTTGCCTTCATTACCAAACAGTATTTGGTACCAGGGCTGATTTTATCAGACTATTTTAGTCTGATTGTCTGAAATTTCAGACCTATTTTTTTGCCGATTGTTGGGCTGAGAAATAGCCCTTAGGATCTTTCCAGAGACTCAGTCCCAGTTGTAAAAGGAGACTTGAGCAGTGCAGCGGAAGTTGAGTAGTTGAACCCTTGTACTAGTATGTGAGAACAAGTGATTGACTAAAAAGAACAAGCATACAGCAATATATAGAAAGTAGGAAAGTAAAGCAGTTGTAGAATACAGTTGAAAGAGCGGTTATCAAATCGCACAGCAACTCGATTGTCGCTTCGGTTACCATCCTTGCAGTTGTAACGGTCAGTCACCACCTCCGGTTGCGACCCTTCGAGTCCTTTCGTGTTCTTTGTCCATCCCCTCGTGTAACCTCCGTTGACTCGCGTACCCGTTACGATCTTCCTCGAGTGTGGTGTTTACACTTCAGAAACGCTTAAGTCCTCGAGATATTTCCAACACTCCCCTTCGTTTCTGGAGTGCTGCCGTGTCCGGATTCGGTGACGTTATCTGCCCGGTCAGTAGCATGCAGTAATCGAACTTTGCTTTCGCCAGTTTCTTCGTCAGGTAGTCTGCAGCCATTTCTGTCGTGGGGCAGTAACTGAGTTGAAGTCTCCCCTTCGCGATTTCATCTTTGACGAAGAAATACCGCAGGGCGATGTGCTTGGTTCGGTTGGCGAAACCGTCCTTGTTCGCGATTTTGATCGCTGATTGGTTGTCGCAGAAGAGTGAGAAGACGGGCAGGGTTGCAATCTTTGCTTCCTTGAGTAACTCTCGCAGGTAAAGTCCTTCCTTGGTCGCATTGCAGAGGGCGATATATTCTGCTTCAGCCGAAGATAGTGCGATTATTTCCTGTTTGCTCGACTGCCAGGAGATAGTCCCGATAGGCTCTAGTCGGTAGATATAGCCCGTCCTTGAGCGTCGATTTTCCCTGTCTCCCGCGTGGTTGGCGTCGACGTATCCGAGTAGTTGTACGGACGATGTTGTTGCTTTACTGTAGGTAAGTCCAGTCGTCGGCGTAGAGACGAAGTAGAGTAGTG